TGCCTTGTGTTCTTATAGATTTATGCTTTATAGTTCTATTGCTTTCATGTTTGCTATGGTTGTTTTGAGAATGGTTGTGATCCATCTTAGTTCTGTTGTTGACATTTGCTAGGGACTAGCAATGCTTAAGTTGGGATGAGGGGGTGAGATAACCTTTCACATCCAATTTAGGCTTGCTAACTAACTAACTAACTTGTTTCACTTAGTGCATTGTGTAGCTTAAGCCTTGATTTTGGTGTTGCGGGTATTTTAGGTATAAACATGGAGTCTTAGCAAGGATATAAGGGCAAGGAAGAAGGTGGCAGTGGGTTTGCTCGGGATTAGATGAAGTAGGGGGCCTTGCAAAGTCAATTGCAGGAAAGAGAAGAACTACTGGTAGGAAGACTGAAAGACAAGGTTCTACCAGAAGTAAGTCAGTTATGTCGATAGCAGAGCTCATAGAATTTTACAAGTTTTCATCAGAAAAGTTCTACCGGTAATTGCATCACGTTCTATTGGTAGCTGAAGCCCCAGTACTTTTATCAGAAGAGTCCTACCGGATTACTATCGGTAGGAGAAGCTACAAAAGCTTCAAAAGTTCCCGACAGGCAGAGACCTACTAGTAAGTCTACCTTGCTACCAATAGGTCGAGGAAGAAATTCCTGGAAAGCTTAATTAAAGACCAGATTTTGCCAGATTTTTTGCGGATTCTCAACCAATAGAAGAGGGAGATAATTTTGGGATTGATATCTTTCAAAGAGCTAAACATTTTCCTTCCTATCATTATAAATAGAGATCCTTTAGGGAATAGAAGGGAGACGTCTTTAGGAGTTTTTCAATTATTTTTTCATCAAAGAGTTTTAGGGTTACATTATAGAATTTATTTAAATTTCAGTTCATAGGTTTTCATTTATTTGTTAAAGCAACATACAATTTCAATTGTCTTTACTTTCAAAACTTTGTTATTTACATTCAGCTTTTCAATACAAGCAATCGATTTCAATTTTGTCTTAATTTCCTGCATTTAATTATGCCTTTTTTAAAGCTTTATGTTATTTTCATTATCATGAGTGACTAGTCTTCTTCTGGATGATCTGAGGAAGGAGTCCCAAACCTATGAAGTAGGACGTATGCTTTAAACTTGGGTTTTAACAATTATGTGATTGATTACACAGGCAATGTTTTTGAAAACCTAATTAGTTTGCATACGTACCTGTTATTTGTATGCAATTAAGCTTGTTACAAATAATTGTAGTACTTCCTACAACATTTAGATTAATGATTATTCCATCATTAACCATCTTTCAATTGTAACGTTAGCTCTTTCAAAGTTTTTAGTTGAAAATCCTCCGTCTATAGTAGTTTGAATATGAAAGCAAATGAGTTATAAATTTAAGGTAGAAACTCTTATTCATAGGTGAGACGAATTCTGAAGATTATCCAATTTTTCCATTTATTGAATTTCAATTTCATTTATAGTTAACTCTCAAAATTCTTGAACTCAAAAATTTTTTTCTTTTTATTCTTCATCACTTTGGATTCCAATTCTTTCCATGAGGAGACAACCTTGGACTTTTGTTCATGTTACTAAACGATACCTTTTTTCTTACGCTTGGGAGCTTTCATGAAAATACAACCCATTGGAGGGTAAGCACTTTGATTAGTAGTTAAAATTAGGATATTACTATGCCTTTTTAAGACTAATTATACTTTGATAGAGTTTAAATGATGACATTTTCAGGTCCTAAAGTGAACAAGTGTTCAAAAAGCAACATATATCAAACTTGAATGTAGCATTAGCATATTGGGGGACAAAATTGGAAAAGCTTGGAACGAAGCAAGAATGTTCGAATGCCAAACAACGTTCGAACGTCTCCCTGAATTAATTGAAAATCAGGCTACTGAGACATGGCGTGTTGCAATTACCCTGAGGTACTTGAGTACCACATTCGAACGCTAATCAACGTTCGAACGTTACCATAAATCATGACAAGACCAGACTGCTGCATGGAGTGTGGAAATGAACTTCACAGAAGACTACAGGCCACTTTAGTGGGAAGGTCAGACTCCATCAGCACGTTCGAACACCCATCAAACAAAGACAGAGACAACGTTTGAACGCCCAACAACGTTCGAATGTTATCTCTAGACCGACTGCAGAGTAGTTGGATTTCACTTGGACTTGGACGACATACACTATTGCTTCACACTCTCTTGTCTCCCCTCCTCATTGCCTATAAATACTCCCCTTATGGGAGCTTTGAAGGGGAGGTTTTTAGGTAGGAAACTAGAACTTGGTTTGTAAGGCTTAGACTACACCAAGAACTAGTAGAGAGCTTGAAGGAGGCTTAGACTCCCACTTGTAGTTGTATAATGAGTCTTAGACTTAGTCTTATATTTACTTGTATCAAGGGAGATAGATCATCGTTTGGTTGAAATGGAAACCCTCTAAAAGTGACTAGTTTTCTTCTACTTTCATTTATTGTCTTTCACTTCTATTGCTTGAGCTTCCTTCTTCCATTAGAGGAGTGAAACTCTTCCATGTTTCTAGAGCTTTACCAAAGCCGTGAAGGGTGGAACACGATTCATTCATTCTTTATTGAAGATCGGCTCCTCGCTTATTGTACTTTACCTTGTAAGTCCTTTACTTGGAAGGATGAGCATCACTCACTTTTCTAGCTTTACCAAAGTCATGAAGAGTGAATAGTTTCTCATTCACTCTTTAGTAAGAGGTGATAGACATGTATAAATCATTTGAAAGTTATTTTTTGTGCATTTCATTTATGCTTTAATGCTTTATATTACACCTGCTTATTGAATGATTGAATGCATCTAGCAAAGCTAAGGTACTTTGTATAACCGTAGATTCTTTCTATAACATGGATGACTCTTGCATAGAAAGATCCCATGTGTTCAAGGCAATTACTCTGGCTAGATTTTCATGACTACCTTTCAATCTTCACCATTATTGGACTTCATTTAAAAGATGGAATATTAACACCACGGTTGGATGTTTTGTAGAAATACTTGCTGGTTTGTAAACGGGTTGAGTCTTCGCACAGACAATTCTTGTAAACTTCTAGAAAGGCATCGGAACCATTTGCTTAATATTACAATTCACCTTTACCTTCTGATTAACTTGTCGTTGACATGAGAGTTAATTGAGTTACCAAGCATAAGTAAAATAAACCAGATTATTAACTACATATTCAGATCCTCGAGCTAAAGGGTGACTGTTTACATTTGAATTTATCTTATATTTTGTCTAGAAAACTCTTAAAAAGGATTTTATATTCTGTTCAGGAAATCTCATAACTTTAAACTCTCAAGGTTTCCAGTTACTTGATTTCTATCACTGCTACTTTAAAACACTAACCATAGTTCCTTGTAGATTCGACTCAGAACTTAACCAGATTATTACTACATCTTGACACTTGTCACCATATTAGTTGATTACTCTTTTTTTGTTGGAAGGATATATATTTATTAAATACTACTTATGAATTGTTGGGTTGCCTATGAATGTGTTTTAGTTTCCAATTTTTTTATAATTGATCACCAAATTGTTTGTGTTGTTTGTTGGGCTGCCTAGGTGAAATTTGGATATGTATTGTTTTTTGTAATGGGGTGATGGGGCAAGACGATGGCTACCATAAGGTGTGCCTAGGTTAAAGAATGAGCATTGAGAGTTTCAGTCCCTACAATTTTGTTACTACCTGCAAGTGTACCGTATAATTGTAATTATATATCATTGTTTTTTTTTTTGGGGAAGATAATTATTTATCATTGTTAATGGTTAATATCACTATGATATTGTGGTAGTTTGTAGATAGTTGTGTTTAGGTAGGATTCTGGTATGATGGTGAGTTATGTAATTGGTTTAGGTATGATTATGAGGTATATAAATTTTGTGATAAATTGATATTTATATGGATTCCTATTTTTAGAGGAAATTCCGTCACAATTTTTTATAAAATTAGAGAAACTCATTGAATTCAATTTCTCTTACTTAAGCAATGAAAGGAGAAATACTCCAAATCAACGAATTTTTTTTTGTTATATGGTGTCTTTAGGCACGGGTTGTCTATAATTTGGATATTGTTAGTATCACCTTAAGTTTTGCGTCATTTATATTTTCGAAGCATAACTTGTCTATGATCTTGTCAATACTTGTCGGTATGAGTTATCGTTAGTTAATATATATCTATCATACTCGGCAAAATGGGTGTTGTGATGAGAATCCCAATATCTTCTTTTACGCCAGACATAAATGTTGATGATGAGATTTTGGATAATATATTTTTGGGCATTATTTTAAAATTTATTTTAATTTTTAAATTAATAGTTGATAGATGATAGAAATAATAGAGTCCTTAAAACTCTTATATGAATTATTTGGTTGTCATTATAAAAAAGACATTGAATAAGATAAAATTGTATTGCATAAATTATTATCCAAATCTTATAGTAATTTAAGTAATGTGTTAAAATTTCATTGAATATATTATAAAATTAATGGGCTCTACTAATCTAACAATTCGTATTAATTTAAGACACAAAATTTAAGCATTAATTTGTGCAGATAGCATTCCTCTATTGAATAAAGTTGCAATCTCTTTCCTCCCCAACGACCCATCTTCACTTCCTCTGCCAAAATCCAGTTCATTGTCTACTACCTAAACAGTCATTTGTGAACTACTACTAGAGATTATCGAAAACATCGGTTTTTTTAGAAAACAGCCATCGTCCATAATATTTTATTTCCCGCCACGATTGCCCTTTACCGTTTACAGATTGGGAATTTTTGAAGCTGTTTGTATTGCGACAAGATCGAAAGAAGGGTTTCTTATTTTCCCAGCAGTCTTGTGACTCTCGTTGCTATCATCATTCCTTGACACCAACCAGTCGCTGTGTTTGTCTGTATCGGCGCGGCTTTCGTTCCACCAGTAAACAATCTCAATCGCTGCCTGTCAACTTCGAAGTCTTCAATCGTCTCCGCTGTTCCAATTTTTTTCCTCCAGATTTGCTCAGGTTTCTCTTAGTTACCGTCGTCGTACGTCATCGACCTCACCGTTTCTTTCGTCGTTGACTGTCACTGCATACCCCACCTTCAAATTTGCTACCATAATTATCAGATCTGTCCCAGGTTCCCGCTGTTCCAGTTGGAGCACTGGTAAGTTGTTTTCTTGGAAACTAGGGTTTGAAGTCTTAGAATCAGGCAGCGCACGCCAGAAGAAAGTCGCTGAGTTCTTGAAATAAAACTCAGATTTGTTTTGATCTTAGTGTACTGGGTTAATTTTTGACCATGTATATTAGGATTAATTCTTTTACCCACTTTTCATATTTTTATCGGGTTGCACATTCACCAATTTTCCAAAGTTTATTGGGTTACTCAGTGACTCAATGTCCAGAATTTATTGGGTTGTTCGTTGACCCGCGAATTATCTGGTTATCCAATTGACCTAAGATTTATAGCCGAGGAGAAATGATGGGAATCCAATTATCTTCCGTAAACGTAGATTTTGATGAGATTTTGTATAATGTATTTTTTGGGCATTATCTTGAAATATATTATAATTTTTAAATTAGTAGTTGATAGATGATACCGATAATAGAGTCCTTAAAATTCCTAGAATAGTTATTTGGTTGTCATTATGAAAAGGGGATGGATGTACAAATTGTATCAGATTTGAAATATTGAATAAAATTGCAATCTATTCCCTTCCAATTTCTTTTTTCTCTTCTCATCCCTATTTCTAAAGTCTTGTCCCAATCTACATAATGTTGTCAGTTTGTTTATGAATTATCATCGAACTCCTCATCTTGAAGCTCCTTATTATATTTTAAGGTATCTCAAATCAGCTCCAACAAAAGGGATCATGGTCTACAATCATGGTCACTTGAAGCTATAAGCATATACTGATGCTGACTTGGCAGGTTCAGTGGATGATGGGTGATCTACTTTGGGCTATTGCATCTTTATAAGAGAAACCTTGTTACTTGGCAAAGCAAAAACCAAGCAGTGCTTATTAGGTTTAATGCAGAGGCTGAATACAAAGCAATTGTTCATGAATTTGTTAGCTTATGTCGCCTGAAATCCTATTGGAGACCCATGGAATGTTTCCTTGCATTGTTGCCTTGGGTAGAGGACCTTTGCTCCCTTTCTTCCCTCAACACGGAAAAATATTTTGTCTTCTCTTTCATTTTCACAATGCGTATAAGATATAATTTGCAGAGTTAAGATTGGGTGCCAAAATTAAATACAATTCCTACCTATATGTTGAATTTCTAGGTTCTACATTTTGTTTGACACCTGGTTCTTGCCTCTATTTCTTTTCTGATATGTACTGTGCCCTTTAGCTGACTCAAGTTTATATATTAAATTAGCATGTAAATATCTCACAGTTAGTAGCCTATTTGTACCACTTTTTCAGTATCTTGGTAGAGTGGGGGCGTTTTATGAATATACGTATCTTCTCCATGGGGAAGATTGATCTTAAACTGCCTTCAAGAGCAGACAAATTTGACATTGTGGTTGATACAAATACTATTGATGGTACAGATGGAATACATGCTGGGGTAAAGGATGTAAATTCTCCAAGATCCAAGCTAAGGAAAAGCCTGGAGCAAATGTGAATGAAAATATCAATATGAGTGGGGTGGAGGGGAAGTGAATACCGTTGGAGTGGACACCCTTAAAATGGTTCTCACAAATTCTGATCCCCAAAGAGGTATGGAATTTGATACAAAGGAGGCAGCATACTCTTTCTATAGGGAATATGCTAGGTCCGTGGGATTTGGCATTACTATTAAAGCTAGTCGGCGGTCAAAAAAATCCGGAAAATTCATTGATGTCAAAATTGCATGCTCTAGATTTGGATGCAAGCGCGAGTCCAGTACAACAACCAACTCGAGATCATGTCCAAAGACAGACTGCAAAGCTAGCATGCATATGAAGAAAAATCAGGATGGAAAATGGTTTATCCATAGTTTTATAAAGGAGCATAACCATGAAATTTGCCCTGATGACTTCGACTATGCTGTGAGAGGAAGGAACAAGCAGTCTGATAATGTTGCCTGTCAAAAGAAAGGAATACAGTTGGTATTAGAAGAGGAAGATGTGAAAGTGTTGCTTGGGCATTTTATGCTCATGCAAGCTGAGAATCCTAGTTTTTGGTATGCACTAAACTTTGATCAGGGAAAACGCTTGAGAAATGTCTTTTGGGTTGATGGGAAAGGTAAACATGATTACAATAATTTTTGTGACGTTATTTTCTTTGATATCAACTATATTAAAAACAAATACAGAATCCCCTTTGCTCCTATTATTGGAGTAAACCATCACTTTCAGTTTCTGTTGCTTGGGTGTGCGTTGGTTGCGGAGGAAACAACATCTGCTTTTGTTTGGTTGATGCGCACATGGCTTAGAGCGGTTGGTGGCCAAACTCCGAGAGTGATCATTACTGATGAAGACACTTTGCTCAAAGAAGCTATCACAGAGGTGTTTCCTGATGCACGTCATTGTTTCTGTTTGTGGCATATATTGAGAAAAATCGCAGAAAATCTATCTCATATAGTTGATCACTTTGAAAATTTTATGGTTAAGTTTAACAAATGCATATATCAGTCTTGGAAAGAAGATGATTTCGACAAGAGATGGTGGAAAATGGTTGATAAGTTTGGACTCAGGAAGGAGGAGTGGATTCAATCGTTGTATGAAGATCGTAAAAAGTGGGTCCCAACTTACATGGGGGATACCTTTTTGGCTGGAATCTGTACAACTGACCGTTCCGAAAGTATTTCGTCTTACTTTGACAAGTACATAAGTAGGGATACTACATTCAAGGAATTCATTGATCAGTATAAAGACTTTTTGCATGAAAGGTATGAACAGGAAGCTAAGGATGATTTTGAAACGCGGAACAACCAACCCACATTAAGATCTCTTTTACCTTTTGAGAAACAGATATCATCGGTTTATACACATGCAATCTTCAAGAAATTTCAAGTTGAGGTTTTGGGAACAATTGCGTGTAATCTGCAAAAAGTATGTGAAGATGAGACAACTATAACATTCCAGGTTGATGATTTTGAAGATCGACAGCATTTCTTTGTAACCTGGAATGAATCAGAATCCCTTGTACGTTGTTCGTGTCATTCATTTGAATATAGAGGTTTCCTTTGCAGACATGCAATGATGGTTCTTCATATGTCCGGTGTTTCCAGGATCCCATCTCACTATATACTGAAGCGATGGACAAAAGATGCAAATATCAGCCATAATGAAAGTGGAATATCAAATAGGCTTCATTATAGGGTCCAACGTTTTCATCACCTTTCTAAACTTGGCGTTAAATTGGTGGAAGAAGGATCTTTTTCTCAGGAAACCTATGAAATTGCCTTTTGTGCACTAGAAGCAGCCTTGGAACATTGTGTGGGTGTGAACAACTCTGTCAGGAGTATTTTAGAACCTAATATGATGGCTGTGCATGGTTTGTTGAATCTTGAGGAAGAGAATCAGTGCAGCAATATGGCCGAGGCATCTAAGAAAAAGAAAGCACAAAAGAAGCGAAAGGTATAGTTATGGTTTATTTTGCTGCAAGCTAATGCTCTGATGTTGTCTTGAAGTTATCTCAAGTAAATGAGATGCTTGAAATAGATCTATTACTGTTAAAAAAAAAAAATAGATCTATTAAGTAATGAAAGGCTTGAAGCGATATCATTTCACATATTTTAGGTACAAGCTGAGGCTGAGATAATATCTATTGGGATGCAAGACAGCTGCCAGAAAATGGTTTGTGGACTCCTAATTCTGGTTTATTTGAATTCATTGTCATGGATATTTTCAGTGAATTGTAATATAATCTTGATGATTATATGCTTTGTCATCTTGTGATCTGATGGATGTAGGAACATGTGAACCCCCGAGCATACAGCCTTGCTAATTCTTGTGTTCCTCGTCACCAGGACCTGCAAGGACTGGTACGACATATCATAAAAGTTTTCATACAATATCCAAAACAACTTTATTTTGTATATCAATGATCCTTTTCAAACATTATTGTAGGAATTAGGCTATAGAACAGTACCTTGAAGGCTATTATGGTGCCCAATGGGTGTTCTAGTAGTGGTACATCCTCTAGTCATGAATGCGATGTATTAATCCAGAAATTGCATCTCTTAAAGAATAAAAATATAATTTAATTCATGTTGATATCTATAGCAGGGACAATTGAACTCATTATCTTCAATGCGGGGTGGCTACCATAGGAATCAACAAGGCGCACAGGGGCTGGTATGACACAAGGCATTGTTCTATCTTTGAAGCTTCTGTGAAATGTTTTGACATTAATATGAACGGATATGGTACTGAGTATCTCATTGTCTCTTTTTGTTCAGGAACAATTGAATAGAGTCTCCACAAGTGTTACTCATTATGGTCCTCAGCATAACTTGCAAGGATTGGTACTGGATTCAGATGGCTTTCAATCTAGCAGTTTGATTTTATGTATAACTGCCATAGAAGCATTGTTCCTCAGATTGGGATTTTGCAGTTGCAGGGACAGCTTACTTTCAGCGCAGCAGCTATGCATGGTTGTTTTGACGTTCAGGATGAGGATGGCTTGCATGCTATGGTGGGTAATTGAGTAATTAATATAGAATAGGTTTTTTTTTTCTTCGTGGTAAGTTCCAGTATAACTTGCTTCCATATTTACTGCAGGGACCGTCTGTAAACATTACATCGAACCATTTGCAAGATAAACGTCTCTCTCGGTAAAATATGTTGTGAACTTGAGCCGCCATTCTGTTAGATTAGCACCTGCCACCCATTCTCAAGTTACTATAAAAGAGCCGACAGGGTCATCTACATCCCCTACCCTCCCAACAACCCCCCCCCCCCCCCCCCCCC